TCCTCAAAGTCTTGATCCAATGAATTGTTCATTTCCAATCTGTAAATACAATTATTGACTTTTTTCATTATTATATAATATAATAATTGCATGAAATTTATTTTCAAAATATGGGTAATGTTAATTAATTGATGTTATACATTATACTTACAGGCATTGTTATTAACAATGCAAATTATCACAGTCATCAACAAAAAATTATCTCGACTTAAACAATTGTTCATTGCCAGTTAAAGCGGTGATAAAGTTTATTGATTAACAAGATGCACATGCTTTAATTCATCGTAATAAACAGTTCACATATTTCGCACGATTATAATACTTTTCAATCACTAGGAAAATTAACCGGTCTCCCGCAAAATAATTCGTTGCGAGGGGTACTGTTCCGTTTAAACTTATCGAAAAACGTTGATTAATATTTACGATGAATAGCGAAATGTTGCATCGGATCAATTAAGCAAACACAAGACAAACTGTCAACATACATTTAATTGTATTCTGTTAACTGCATAAGAAAAAGTTACGTTGAATTTGCTTTTGATCCGACGTCGATATATTTATCGTTCAATTAAAAGAAAAAAAAAAAACAAAGTCACCATTCATTCGATGCATATAACATTAAGCTCAGAGAATAACATGTAGTTCTACTGATGTTTAGACGATGCAATTTTTCCCGGGTTGTGTTACATATAGTTAAGTGTGGCTGTCAATAATATGACATGATCACTGGTACGCTGTTTATGGCACATTTGTAGTAGCGATATTCAACGAAGGTAAAATCGGCGCGTCAACTGCGATGCCTACTGTACCCAATCTGAACTTATTATTAGTACGTGTTATATCGAGCCGCCAATATGGCGGCGACGCGATGAAACCCGCGCGTCCCACAGGATAATCAACTCAATGTGAATTCGTGCCGAACTGTTGAGGCGCGTTCAGCGACGGGTTCAGAGTGTTCAGATGCGTTGTTTTGTAAGAACGTGCTCGCGCGCGCGCGCGCGCGCGCGTGGTAGCGTGCGCCGATCGCTGCAAACGCCGAGCTTCCCTCTCCTCTCTTCTCTTCACCGTCGTTTCGTGTAGTTTCGTATCTGACTTCTCCGTTGCATACCATCACCACCTTCATCCACTTCCTCCCACCTCTCCCTCTTTTCTTTCCCTCTTGTTCTCTTTCTCGATCTATTTACCTCCTCTGCGACATCTTTTTTATCAAAGATCAGAGGGTTCACTCTTGCTGCTTTTTGTTTTCTAGTTATTCAGGGTTATGTACAGTAAGTGTATATATTGCGACATCGTATATTGCCCTTCAAGCAAAAACCAACAAAATGAATGGGACCAACCGGAATGTACGTTGGTGCTGCGAGGAGAGGGGGGAAGTAGAGAAGGAGCCCGAATTGAAATTAAGTCAACCTAACAGCACTCAAGTATGAGTAGGGAGCCAATCCGCTCATAGCGAGTACTGCCGACGCAGGCGCAATTCGAACGTCACCGTAAAACTCTCTCTCTCTCTCTCTCTCTCTCTTTCTCTTGCTTTGTTGTTCTCTCTCTCTCTCTGCTTTTCCATCCATTCTCTGCGAAGCGAATCTTTTATTTCGTTTTTTGTTATTACTCTCTTTCTAACGTCTACTCTCTCCTTTTTCCCTCTGTTCTCTGCCATCCCTCCAGTGTTCCACGTTGTCCCTCAGCCCGCGCAGTCCTCCAACAAATCGTCAACGCTAACTATCCAATTGCCACCTGTCTCCGATCTTGCGAAAATCGTGGTACTATATAATCTTTTCCTATATTAAAGTTATACAATTTATGTACATTACTGTAAATTATCTTAATGCTCTAGCGCAAATTGTGGTTGTAGATTGTTAGAAAAAATACATTGCGTTATCACGCAAAATATTTTTAGAAACTTTTTTTCGAAGAGTATTATACACGTTTTACTTGTATTGTACATAAATTATGACAAATGTAAGCCTCAAAGTTGAACTCGACTCAAGCGGAAAATTAAGGACTGACGTGGTGTGATGGTAGGAAAATTGTCCACGTATAGTTTTTCCATGGAGAAGCGTACACCAAACGCATACCTGAAATAACCGGTTTTGCCCGGAAAATATACATATGTGAACAAGGCGTGGCAGGAATGGTTGGCGGTCGACAGGAACGTATATAGTAGGGGAACTTAACGGAATATGTCGAAAACGGCCGAATCTGGCATCTATTGATCGTAACAGGTTCCGTACTGTATTCTATAGAGATACTCAAACAACCCGAGTTTGAAATTCTATATTTAGTTCAAACGAAATTCTGCATTTGCTCGTTGCGCACGATAAAGCAAAAGTCACTAATGAATTTCTCAAGTTTTCTATGGTTCTTATAATTGCGTTTTGCTTTTTATAGGCATTTTTCTTGTATAGTTGTGACTATATTGAGTAATGTGACAGCAAAATAGTACAATTTTATTCAGAAATCGTTGTTTGCGTAATTACGTATTATCGTTAATATGTTTTGCGTTTATTTGAAAAGTATTACCAAAATGAAAAGGAACATTCAGCCTAGCGTCATATCGGAAATTCAACTATTTTTGCCACTTTGTTTGCGGTGAATAAAAACTCAAGTAAGCAGGTGAATAGTTAAATATAAGTTGATATTCTCATTCCACGGAATACTTGACTATTGATTTCATCCCTACCATGAACTCCTTGTACTTTGGTTGGCAACACTTACTTTAGTATGCGCCGTAGTCATGCTAGTATGCGCAGAAAGGTAATCGCCGTTATGGAGAAGACGAGTTCACCACGATATAGTAGCGATCTAACTTGATGTAAGAAGAAAGGGGATACTTGGATACGTACGTTGACCCAACATCCCTGACTACTCCTCCCTCTCCATCACCTCCTCCCACAAATCTGGTTTCACTGCGAGTTGCGCACAACTTTCTAAGCTCGAGCCTCCTCCGACAAGGTTTGTTCAAGTTATGCTCATTGTGTGCGTAGTAGGGATAGAAAAAGATAAAGATTTTGATGAAGGGTCGAGTTAACAGGACTTCACGAGTTTGTTCAAGGTTATTAACGGGGAAATTGCGTCATTTCTAACTGATGAAGCTTTTCAGTACTGTATTGCTGAATTAGCATTTAAATACTTCAAAGTATGACTAATTATATACTGTTTTGTATATATAAATGGAAATTTTCGGGAACAACAATATTGATCTGTCAAAAATGCAATTTTTATTATAAGCATTTAAAAATGTGTTGCAAGATTAAATATAAAAAATCAAAGTATCTATAAATAAATATATAAGATAGAAAAGTTTGTATCGTAAGAATTTACTATTGTTGTTCCCTACATTATTGACGATACCCTACAAAGCATTTTAGAATTGAACATGGAGGTTGTGGAAAACTTGGCAACATAGGGGATACCTTCATCCACTTCTGCGGTTCCGCCATATACCTCCACAAGACTGTTTTATTGGTACACGTTACTAACACAGAACTATTCTCTTTTATTTTTAACCAGTGCAATTTACATTACACAATAATGTATCATCAACTGTACTGAATAAACTTCAAGAACGTGATATTTATGTATACATAAATCCCATCTTTCGAAACTGATTTGTTTAAATGTAATTTGTTTGTACACGTAGCAATTTAATACACTGTAAACCTAATATATTAACGTTTCCAAATAATATTTTGATTAACACATTCTCACTTACTATAATTGTAAATCATGAAAATTATGTTGTCTAAATGCAATATTTATCGTATTTAAATTATTAAGTGACTTCAATAGCTTTATTTCGGTAGTAATTGTAGTCAGTCTTATTCTGTCTTTCTTTTACTTAATTAACATTCATTACGATGAATTAAAAGTAATTTAATATATCATTTTATTAGCTCTATTTACTACTTTTCTTACAAAAGTAATTTGCAATTTGACCTCGTTTGTTGACCTCACTGGTTGCTAGGCACCAGTTATATTGTCAAAGGGAGGGAGTTAAGCTTTAGCGACGTTGCCAAATTGTTTCATGTCGAAAATATAAAATTAAAATCTGTTGTATTAAATGTATTAATTGTAAAAAGTACTGATTCGATATAAATGTAATAAAACCTTTGTGTCCAAATTTATCTTATTGTATAATTATACTTTAATTTCCGCATACTATTAAATCTATACTTAAATTATTAACATTTCCACCGTTTAATACGTAATCCAAAATTTTTAAATATAAATTACATTTTTTAACGAATACAAACGGTACTAATAAATGATCGATGAAAGTATATGCAATTGTTACTATTTAATATATACTTTTCAAAAATTCATTACGATTATTTATTGTATATTTTCCAAAAATTGTTAGACAAATAGTAATTATTACTTTTAATCAAACGTGCATATATATTGCGGATTGCACATCAGTGTTGCCAACTTAAAGAAAGATTGCGCAGTGTTATCGTACTTTTTCATTAAACGTAAAACGGTGCATTTTAATTAGAAAGTACAAGATAATTACACATTTACAGTAATTAAAAAACATCAATGAAGTGTTGAATAATAAATTTTGTATTCTATTCTATTTCACTTAATCAAATTTACTTTTATTGCGTTTAAAGTTATCTGTAGAATTTCAATTTCAAAAACTATGTATTTTAATTAACAGTTGCATTTAAACCTTAGTAATTCTACATCCAATACTGTGTTAGTAAAGGTAAATGCATTATTATCTGTAATTTCAGAAAAGAGGTTATTTCATCACTGTGTTAAAACTTACAATTTTTTTTCTCTAAATATCATGAAATGCAAATAATATCTTGCATTAATACTTGTAATTTAAAAATCTTTAATTAAGTGTTTATTTAAGTATAAGATATAAAGATATTGCTATAAACAAAGTTTTCATCACCGGTGAATGTGACAAGAAGCACTATGATATGCTTATCAATAGATAAAGATGTAGAAAGTATATTGAATTAAATGTTTTCAATATTTTGTGCAATAACGTTAACTAATTCGAAGTACCTTAATTAATATAACGTTATAACCATAGACATATAAATAATAACTTGTAATCATGTTTGGAACTTTGCGTAATAAATTTCAAATGGTACAAGAAGGCATATCAGCTAGGTAAAGGTTTTAATTTCAAGCATAGAAAATGTAGTTAAAGACAATTTATTATGTATCTGACATAAAGATATATATATTTTGCATTCATTTTAATACTTTTAGTATCAGAGGATTAACTGTTGCTGAAAATCCAAAGCCAAAGAAATCTAGCAATACCAGAAATGTTAATTACAATGCAGGAGCTGATATTTTACACAGATTTCAATTACAATGGAACGAGCTACATGAGCTTGCAGAAGAAAATACAGAAAAAGCTCAAGAGGCTGATAAACTCATAGGCACTATTTATGAAAAGCTTGAACAAGAATGGAAAAATGTCACATGTTTAAATACTACTTTAGCTTACATTCCAAAGATCAACAATGCAATACAAGATCTTATGGACCAAATAGGTACTTTTCTTTTAAGTATATTTTGAATTCAAGTTTGGAATAAATAACAAAAATTAATTTTCATGGAAATTAAAGGAACATTGCAGGAAATGTTTGAGGAAGTAGAAAGTGCTATATATCGCTTAGAAGATTTAAATGAAATGTTAGAATTACAAAGTAGACAGTTGGATCACAGATTTCAATTAGCCCTATACAAAGAGAAAAAACTTGCAGAATTGAATATTATTAAAGGTATATTGTATTGTCTCTAATGTGCTAATTACAATAATACAAAAATATTCAAAGTATATATCAATTTGTAGCAAAGTTGGCCAATGAACACATTGATAGGGTATCAAAATATGAACTTAAACAACAAAAAATTATGAAAGAAAGACAGGAAACATTTGAGGAAGTTTTTAAAGAAGAAATCAAAGAATATAAAGAAACAGGATCCATATCAAGTATGTTTTAATAAACTTGAACAATTTTTGTAATGTAGTAAAAACGATTCTAATTTTAGAATTAGCAGTGTCACAGGAAGGGCCTTCATTGGATGAGATAGTTTTGGATGTAGACTCAACAATATTTGACAAATTTTTGTATAATTGTGTAAAAATAATATGTACAAATTTTGCAGCAAATATATAATATTTTGCAAAAAATGTAATTTTCATATTCCTGGTTTTAAATGAAACAAAATATAATAAACTACCATTAAAGATGATATACTAAAATAATGTTCATATGCGTCATTGATTTGATAAAATGCACGTTTAGTATATATGTTATATATGACGTATTAATTCTCACATTTTCTTTCATAATTATATTACACTCTGCTCGATTTAGTTGAATTAGAGCAAATTTAATGTAATATATCATTTAATTTACAAGAAAATAATACTATTTTTTATATTTAGTTTTCTATAATACGTAATAGATTTGAACATATATTATTAGTCAATATTCATTTGTGTAGAGGGCAATGCAGTTCGTTTCTAACCTCAAACGTGAACCGGTTGATAATTAAACAAGAAGAATTAAATACTTCAATAGCAGTATAATACAGTATTCTCATATGAGTTAGCAGGTACTTATCATACAGCGCATAGTTAATAATGTAAAGATTGTAAACTCAATCAAATTTTATGTAGTTTATTATAGGTATTCATTTTTCAGATTTGTGAATATATTGAAGATTTTCGATTCACAACAAAATAAGTCAAGCAACTCAGCAAAAATATTGATAAAAAATGTTGCACAAATATAAAAGAAAGAATTATTACTTAGATAAGCTACATAGAGGATTTGTAACTTTATGTATGGGTACTACAGTAATTGGCATTGGAATAATATTTGTGAAGGGATATTATTACTATCGATATATTCGGCCGGCAATGAAAGAGGTAGCAATGAAATCCAATGAAGAGTTATTAAAGGAAGGAAGATACGTAGCAGCTACTAATTAAAGTAATGAAGTCAATTAAAATGTATATACAAAATGTAATAGGATAACAAACAAAAATAAAAAAAAATTAAAATTATTACCATTTGTTTCTTTACCATTGTTAAATTTAACAAATTATATTTTATTAATATTTGGTGGGATATGGAGGATATTCTTGCTATTCTTCATGGGTTTGTTTTGTTTGAGAAATCACATTTGTGTTAATTTTTTACTCAAATTAATACAAAAAGATATATTGTGAGACTAATTGTAAACCGTGAGTGATTTTTAAAGGACAAATGTGGTCTGTATTGTATGTTTATAATTATCACATCCTTATTTGAGTATTTGTTATGAATGATTTTTAATGACTGTATTATTATAAATGGAAACTATGTAGAAGTTGTAGCATAAAAATACTACATATTTTATGAATGTAAATATTTTCTTGAAATGTTAATTTTGAAACATACTCTTTATAACAGTGGCCAATCTATACATTAATAAATGTAAAATTAAACAACCTATTAAATAAACATAAAGATTAAATATTATATTTACATTGTTGGCAATTGCAGAGATTAAGTAATAATATAACACATTCGTACTTATTTCATTTCATTGAACATGTTTCACATTTATAATATATTATACTAAATTGAAAATAATGTCTTTTCCATCACTCAACATCACACATTTTATACAAGTAATTGAAATATATTTCTCTTGTAAGTACTTGTATGCAATTACTAAATTAAAAATAGGCCATTCTAAATGGAAGGATAGCTACTGTTAACAACTAAAATTTTATGTTATAAAATTTGTATATTAAATAAACATTTTATGTTTAATATTTACATGTATGCAAGTTGAGTGCACATGATACATTTACAAAGTACATGGTCAAGGGTGTTGATCGCATTGCTTCAGACATCTTATATCTCAATTTTAAATTGTCATGCACATAAATTGCTATTCGTCATGAAGCCTAACCTTTTAAAAATGCCGAATATTTTTCGAGATTATTGTAAGTCTTACCGAAGGCAATAGTTTTTGTACAGCTTCCAAAAGTAATTTTCGAGTACAAAATACATCGTATATACGCCGAATAATTTATATACAACGTTTTATCTTTTCTTGTGTAATGGACATAATTTGTACTCAGTTTCTTGATCATATTAGTTAAAGAACAATATTTTAGAAAATTTTTTAAAAGCAAATATACATACATTTTAAAACTAGAACAGTCACAAAAATTTAATTCTATTTACATTTGTAAAAATCAATCAGTGTAAGACTTACCATGCGAAGTAGATTCGTATGTGTATATATACTGCCAATATGATACATTACTTAGAAAGTTAAATAAAAGCTATGCTTTTATTTGAAATATCAATGCTGCTTTGTATACTAACAAAATAATACAAAACTTAAAATAGTCTTACATAGATCGATCTTTAAATATAAGAGTACAATTTGTAGTATTAAAACGATATTTTGTTCCGTTTAAAAGAGAAAGATTTTCATCGAATTAAATGAAAAAAAAAAGAAACAAAAATATTTATTTTTTATAAAAAACATTTTATGTTTTCTTTTTTTAATCTTAACGCTATGATCTGATCAAATACTTGCACAAACCCTGTAGCCCATAGGCTGCAACTTGAAATTCTGAAGGTAAAAACCTTAAACGATAGACATTTACGAACTATTAGATGTGGGGTTAGAATTTGACAATGATTCTACACGCATCGAATCGATTCGGGCTACGATTTTCAGTGCAGGACCCAATTTAATACTCATAGCCGACATAAGGTGGTCCTCTTTGAGTAACATAAGTGCTTGTCCATCTATTTCTTGAATAGCAAAGTCTTCCGCATAATCAGCACATCCCGGTAAACCGCGTATAAAATCACACACTTCACTAACCTATAAAAAATATAAATCGCTTATTTTTGTTCTTTATCTGCAGTTAGAAAATTTATAAGTTATATTCTTACAGTCCATTTCACAGGATTAATTTTCGGCAGTGTTTCATCAATAGAAGATGTAGTGGTTGTAGTAGATAGTGACTTTTCTTCTCCATTCTTCTTCATATCTCCTTCATTTTTTGATTCAGTCTCTATGTCAGTCCACTGTTTTTCAGTACCGTCACGATCTCTGACTTCTCGTTTTTTGCTAATTGATTCATAACTTATGGTAATATATAATGTTCAGAATGTTAATAATTTATAACAGTATATTTTTTGCGGAAGTTCAAAGAATAACTAATAAAATAATTTGTTCCTACTAACCTCTTTGCACAACCAGAAGAGCAAAATCGCTTTTCCTTTTTAAATTTAGTATTTTGCTCATCTACTAAACTTCCACAACCTTCGCATTTTCCAATTTGATTATTTGTATCTTCATCACTGGGATAATTAGGTGCATGTTTCTTCCCTAGAAAATAGAACATATTTGATAAACTGTACGTTCTTAGTTTACGAAAACAAGTATCAAAAAGTAAATTAATTTTTTTTAAATCTTACGCGGAGGTTCCTCATGATTCTCTTTCTCAGATGATGAATTATTACGATTTAAAATATTACTTGTTTCCTGATTAACTGTATTGTTTAATGACGTTCGATTAACAGCAAATGGTTCAGATGCTGCAACAATTGTATATCAAGATATTAATATGTATTTATGTTTATTAATCATTAGAATAATATATAAACGATTAAGTTGTACCTTCTTGTATGACAAAACCTTCAATTACATGTGTAAGAACTTGTGGTTTGACCATTGCTTTCGGAGGCACATGTTTGTTATTTGCGGTAATCGGTACAGGAACGGGAATCGCTGCAGATTCTTCGTTAATAACACCATTCGTAATAGAATTTATCGTATTTGCCAATCCTGCCAAGGGATTGTTACATGCTTTTTCCTCACTCTTTACTGGTGAATTTTCGTCTTCTTTTATAGGTACTTTATTAGATTGGTCCCCATCTACGAGATTAAAACCGTATGTGATATGTGTAAAAAACACATGTCGTCATACACTTCTTGAATATTTCAATGATATATATTATAATACGAACCTGTCGTTTCTGATTGAGGTAATGTAATTTCTTCTATCGTAAGTGGCATTATTTCTTCCTTTTTCAATATTGCTTTTGAAGTCTCGTCATTTGTTACGGGAGTACTTGTAGCAGATGGTAATACTAAAGAACATTCAGCCTGATGATTACGATCGGGTGATGTGATCATTATTGTAGAATTATTGTTATCATGTGATTGCTGATCCGTTGAATGATTTACCATAGACATTGTTTGAACCTGTGATGTCGATCCACTAACTATTTGGCTACCAATTATTGTCGAATTGATTGCCTAAAAGAATTTCATTATGTAACACAGATATTACACAATTAAATTTCAAAACATTGAGAAAAGTATAATGTTTGTTACCTGCAATGGTAATTGTTGTACAGCAGACATCTGAGACTGTTGTACTTGATTCATTTGAGATGTAGCGACTCCAACGCCAACCCCAACTCCAACTCCGCCCACTGAAACCACAGGCATAATCGGTCGCTCTCCACCAAGAACTACACCTTGTTGTTGTTGCTGTTGCAGAGCCATATTTGCTATAAAAGAAGTAACAATCAGATATACAAAAACCTATATTCAGTTTATGACATAACATGTGGAATGACATCTCACTCATTATTGGTTTAGGCTGTATTTGTTGTTGCGGTACTTGCTGCTGTTGATACTGCTGCTGCATCTGTTGCTGCTGCTGCGTGTGCTGTTTCTGTTGAATAAAAACCTGTTGATGTTGTTGTTGCATCGTTTGTTGTGACTGTTGCTGCGGTTGTTGCGGCGATTGCAGTGGTTTACCACGGCCTTTACCACTACTACCGCTTCCTTTTCCACTCTAAGTTATAAAACATTAAAAAAAATCTTCGATATGTTTTCACGTGATTAAAAAATCGTTTTTCCAACAATTTTGACGCTAATGATCTGTATATGTACCGTGGTTTGTACTCCGTGAACGGTTTGCGTAGAAACTGAACTGGCTCGTATATTGGCAGCTTGTACTGCTTGTAGAGAGGACGGTAAGATACTCAAAGGCCGCTGTCCACCTGTGCTCTGCTTACCCTGTTGCTGTTGTTGTTGTTGTATATCCATTACCTTTGGTTTTCCACTAGCTGCAGCAATTTGTTGTACTCCCTGAATTTGTTGTTGCGTAGCTAGTGCTATGAAAATATAATGACAAATTGATTTAATTGAAAATATAAAATTTGATTTAATGTAATGCATTAGACTGACCATTGTGAGCTTGAATTGGTTGTGGACTTTGTATGAACATATCAGGTTGTGTAGGACCTCTGATAAATATTTGGTTAGTGAGAAGTGTTGGTGGCTGTATTCCAGCCCAAGCAACTTGTGGTGTAAACTGCCAAGGAGCAAACTGCATACCACCGCGTCCGCCGGATGGGGTAGCAGCTGTGCACGTAGTATACTACACATTTTAAAAATAATACGTATAAAATACGAACTAAGCGTAGAAGAAATAGTAAATATTTGTCATAAAAAAAATAAAAATACGTCCTAGTACCTTTTGTACTTGATCTTGTTTGTTTGCAGATTGTTGTTGTTGCTGTTGCTGTAGGGATGGAGGTGGTTGTGGAGAACCCAGTACACCAAGTTGACCAAATACTAGGGTTTGTCCTGCACCAGGTGTAGCAGAAGTAGGTACTGGTAAATAACCTGTAGGAAATCCTGGAACTTTATTTCCTCCAGCTCCTGGATGGCCACCACCTTGACCCTGTGTTGATGCAGTCGTCAGCATGTGAGGTGTCAATTGAGCAGCAGATTGAAATGGCTTTCCAGCAGTTATGACCTGTGAAGCACCCTATTTAGGAGCGGATATGTATATTTTAATAGTATTAAACAGCATGAATATATTTAAATACCTGTATTGAAGAAGGATTGATTCCAGCTGGATGTAAAGCTAAGTTCCCTGGCATCAATAACGGAGTTCCTTGAGTATTATAAAGTTGCTGTAAATGATATGCTTGGTTCTGCATAGGTTGCTGAATAACTTGTACTGCTTGTGGATGTGCAGCCATAGTAGTTATAGTTGTTGCTCCTTGTTGTCCAGATAAAGTCATAGATACACCTCCGCCAACTCCTTGTTGCTGATGTTGCATTGATACTGCTACAGCACCCTGAAAAATTTTGTTTACAATTTGCTCCTACAATAAAATGCCCTTCAGTAACTTTTTACCTGTTGTTGAGGCATAATTGCTGCTACCTGTGGTTGCACTTGCACTTGTGTTGGAACAACGTTATGGGGTCCACTGTTAGATTGCTGTTGCTGAGATTGCTGCTGCTGCTGCTGCTGTTGCTGAACTTGTTGCTGCACTTGTTGCTGAACTTGCATTTGTTGCTGTGATGGCACTTGTTGCTGTATTTGTTGTTGTGGTTGAACTTGTTGAGATTGTACTTGTTGCTGTGCTTGCTGTTGTACTTGCTGTTGCTGAGAAGGTTGTTGTTGAACATGCTGTTGCTGCTGCTGTACATTTTGCTGTTGTTGAATATCATGGGTTGCAATCATCATTTGTTGCGGTTGAGGTTGTTGCTGCTGCTGCTGGGGCTGCTGTTGTTGTTGTGATTGTTGCTGTTGCTGCTGTTGTGATTGTTGTTGTGTTTGCTGTGGTTGATTTTGTGAGATTCCAATTGGTTTAACATCTGTCATGTTTTCCCACACCTTTTTATTATTTGAAGTTAAACTTCCTTTACACAAAGAAGTATTCTTCCCACTATTATATTCTTAGCAGTTCAATATCTTTTTTCCTTGCCATTTTATATAGATATTTCTTATTAAAATATCACTTTTAGTCCGTTTAAATAACTGCACCTAAAAGAACATTTTTTAGAAGAAACATTTAAAACAACATGAATTTAAGATAATATCATTTAAAACAGTAGCT